TTCTGCAGCTCACAAAGTCATTGATGTTGAAGGAGAGAGAAAGTGAAGAAAATCATAACTTATTTCACTCTATCGTAATCAACTGATCGGACAAGAGTGTTTATAATTCGTGTTGACGATTAAGCTCAATCGTAGTAGTGTGAAACAAGATTAAGCTCAATCGAACTTTATCTCCCTAACTCACATGAGAGAGAGAGAGAGAGAACTTGTGACACGTAGTGTGAAACTAGTTGATATAATTCCACATTCATGAGAGGTTCAATGGTCCTTTTGTAATCGTCTGAGAAACGTGGGCTATGGGGACAAGTTAACTGGATGCAGCTCACAAAGTCATAGAGAAAAGTTAGGACGCCCAAATTTCTTTCACTATATCATAATCAACTGATTGAACAATGGTGGTTAGTAATTCCTGCTGAAAAATTACATTGATTCACTTCCCTTACAAAATATTCGATTACACGCTTCAAAGGTCGCTATTGGAGCAAAAACAGATTTGTTTAATTTGATTAAAGACTTGTCCATCTCTCCATATAACTTGAGATCGATCAGAAAGCCAATTCCTTAATGTATGTACCCTTTTCAGTTCCGATGCATCTTTTTTTATGGAATGTACTATTTTATTTCGGATCCCCTCAATATCTAATTTTATCAATCGCGAACAAATCTAATCATTCGTTATTAAACTTCTTAGGTCTTCTTCATGAGTTCGGGTAGACACCCATAACTACCAATGCAATTATACAATAAATGATTAAACACGATAAAAAATGATGGAAGTAGAAAAGAAAAATGTATGGTTTGTATCGGATAGGACCAATACTCTTTCTCATTTTGCCTTTCTTGCATCATCAAATCATGTGTTTGATCATCAATTTTCTATACTATATTTTTTTTAGGTTAACTGTCAAGAATATTTACGTTGATCATCTACGTCGAGATTAAAGTATTCATAAGAGATAAATTCATTATAGTCTGATTCTAAAGAGTTATCAAGATTCAAATTCAGAACATTTGAATTTATAACTCACTTATGTTATCACTTGAACTACACTTAGAGTTAATTTTCGCGCCACTGAAACCACGTGATTCCCACTTTCTTGAAATATTTGCAGCCTTGGCCCTTTTTACACTACTTGATGGTGGTCTACTCTACGGTGCTAAACCTTGGCACCCAAGTAATGCAATTTGATGCAAAGGAAAGGTTGAGCTCCAAGCCACTACCATAAGTACCCAAACCCACCAACCCCCAAGCATCAAACTCTCTCTCTCTCTCTCTCTCTCTCTCTCCCGTTTCTAGTTAGAAGCAGAGACTCCAAAAACGTCTTCCTCTGTTTTCCTCTGTTCTTCACATAAACTCTCTGACGCTTCAAAATTATCCACACCCTACACAAGAATAATGGAAATCATTGCCTCCAAACCCAAGATCAAGTCACAGCAAAGGCTTCCACCAAGGAGAGGACAAATCAAGCTGCGAATATTCAAAGCATTTGCCAGATCAGTCGTTGCCGTCATAACAATGGCCGGCGATTTGGGAATTAGGAAAAGAAAGAAAAAGGGAAACGTTTCTTCTGAGCTCCATGAAACTCCAAGTGTGTTCAATTCAGATACCCATTCCAATGGATGATCTCTTCTCAAACTCACTGAATTTGGGGGGGTTTTAGACCTCTCTTATCTCAGCTTCTGTTAGTTACTTTGTTATATGGTTCTTTTGGCTTTACCATTAGGTTACATATTTTTTCCACTTCATTTGATTGATAGAAGGTAGGCAGGTACTAATTGATTTTGGTATTGGCCTTCATAACTAATACTAGTTTTTGAGCTGCAGCTGAGATGTATCACATTGTTGGTTGTAATACTTGAAATATAAAATAATTCTTGAAATTATTTTCAGCACTGGATATTTTTTTCCTTTCATATTTTAATAGTAGGAAAATGAGTAGTCTTCGGTACCCCAAAAAAATGGGTACCGTACCGTCATTAATCATTTTTGTGGTATTTGCAATCGATCCTAACAAAAGTGATAAATCACCCATAAAAATTAAAATAAAATTGTTATAAAATAACTTACAAAATAAGAAAAACACTTGTTAAAATAGTAAAATTTAGAGATAAATTTTTGATAACATCCATTGGAAAATTGTGGTGACACAAATCAAAGGTCACTTCTCAATGTTCTTTTTGTTGTTTGCTTGTTGGATCATATGGTTACTCATTACTCCTCTTGAAAATAAACTTAGCTAATTAATATAACAGTTAACCATCAAACTCCGACATGAATTCTAAGACTCGAACCTCTACCTTCAATGTGAGAATTTTGGTCAATATTCCATTGGGCCCTCACTGGTCACTCCTTGTTCTAATCAGGATAGGTGATGTAAAAAGGCAAGGACTTTCAGATTATAAATTGAAAGTTAACTGATTATAATATACATATTATAATTCTTGACTTTCAACTAATTATAATTTTGTTCCAAAAAAAAAAACTAATTATAACTTGAAAATCATTTCCTCTGGTGGGTCTTTGGGAAGGGCCGGCGGGGTCAGGTAGATGGGCTGTCCAATGGGCCATTAAAAGCGCGACGGACTAGTCTGATTAATGAAAGGAATAGATGAGACAGTTTGAAAGAGCAAATGTGAACGAGGTTATGGCGACATTCCATGACAGCCCATTGTAATCTTCTGAGAAATGAAAAAGTTTAGTGAAAAGGACTCATTAATTATTTTATTTTTTTGGAAGGTACTATTAATTATTTATTATAAAGCAAGTCAATGAATTATTTAATGCAAGTCAATGAAAAGTTAGACTTATAGTCTGTTTGTTAGAGAGAAAATGAACAGAGAAAAATGGGATAGATAGAAAAAGTTTTCACCGTTTGATATGAAGGGAAAATAAGATGGAGTGAAAACTGGGAGGAATGTGTTTCCCTTCCGCCCATCAAAATTTTTTCTCCCAAATATGGGTCAACTTTTGGGCATAACATGTGTTTTTACCATTTTACCCCTTATTTCATATGCAACAAATGGACCCAACCTTCTAGAAGCAAAACACATAACAGGGTTATGTGTATCTGTCCAGGTTGGCCACACTGCCACGTGGCAGATAAAAGTAAAAAAATTTGTTGGCCTGAGATGAGTTGACAGTAATTAATTTTTTCATTTGAGTTGCACGTACAAAAAAATTTTCATTTAAGTTTGGTACACTTTTCTTTCCCTTTATTTTTTTTTCAATACCAATCAATATAAAATTTATCCTTTCAACCTTTAATCTATCTTTGATTAAAAAAAAAATATTTTCAATCCATCGCACCAAACAAAAAGAGGAAAAGTCTATTTCTTTCCTCAAGGGATGGAAATTTATTTCCTTTCAAATTTTATTTTTTTTTTACTTTTTCATCTCTCCTGTCAAATAGACCATTAATTTCAGTTATACCTGACTAAAGAAGTCCTATATTTGGCTGTTTTTTTTTTTAATTTTAGTATTACGATCGAAGATATTTTAGCCAACTTGTGTACACTTTAATTAATTTCTTCTTCAGTTTAATTAAAAACAAACTATCTATGCTCGGAGCTAAGAAATTCATTAAAGAATAAATCTCTTATGACTTATTTTCAATAAAATTACTAAAATTCGAACTCTAAATATTTAAATTTACGGTTTATTCCTATATCACCATTTCGCTATATTGGCCTTGAAGAAGAAAATCAGAAACTTTGAAGATGGTGCCTCATCTGCAAGAACAATGGTGGTGCTAGTTCTGTTTACATAACCAAAACAATGAATAATTGTACCCTTTTGTTTCTATCCACTTTTTTTGCCATTATGATTAAAATAGTCCAACCCGACACCGAAAGTTCTTTTTTGTTTTCAATTTGTCTCTTTTTTGTCGTGGCTAAATATGTTGAAACCATTCTTCCTGTGCAATTAGTTTTTGAGGAGACATATTGTATTGTTCTAAAAGGTATATTTGGTTGGAGTATTGAAAGGTGATATTGAGCTAATTTGATCCAATGATCACTTAATAAACAAGTTTCGATCATGTTGCTTATGTTTTGTATAAGCAATACATATGGTACGTGGTATTAAATAAAACATAATTGATTATTAATATTCAAAATTGTAAAGTACCCTATAAAATCGATAGTTATTGAAATAAAACATGTGACAATAGATTATTTGAAATGAAAATTATCAAATCTCAACTCATACTATATCCGAACTATTCATATCATAATTTCATCAACTCTTGCAAATATAACCACCAATCACAGGATATTACGATTTAGGACAATAATGTTCTAGGCCTTCATATGTGAACTTGCCTACGTATAAAGTCTAGAGATAACTCAAGTGGTAATAGAAATAAATTTTAAATCTAAATATCGTCAACTCTATGAAGTCAAATCACAAAAAATTTATCATTCATAAATATCATAATTTCAACGTAGATGATCTGTTTTTGACTAAACTGAAAAAAAAAATTAATCAAGATAATCATAAATTGACCCAAATATCATTGATTATTGAAAAAATAAATGCGTAACCCCTTGCCTAAGTTTAACATCCCATGCCATGGGGGATGCACCAACTTGACAAGTCAAATGTTGGGGTGGGGGATGCACCTCCCAATTTTCTCCCTTCACGTGCCTGCCGATAGTGAAGTGATTGAGAACAAATTTCAACACGATAAGTACATACGATCCCAAATTTAATGACAAAAAATTAGTAAATTCTATTTATTAATTATTGACATGATTAAGAGAAAAGGATGTCTTGTCCTGAGTTGCTTTTCCTCGTTCACAACAGAAATTAATAAAAAAAAGCGAGGTAGTTTCAAGATACTAACAAGATTAATTAAAGGGTTTGCTTAAAGTAGAATAATCTTGGAACCAATCAATTGTTACATCCAATAAGAAAGAGATGTGTTGTCCTATTACTAAATTTCATAGATTGGAGTAAGGCTGATAATCGAATCGAGTTATTTGAACTCGATTCAGGTTCGACTCGTATAACACTAAATTCAAGTTTGACTTGTATTCTAAAAGAGTCAAGCTTAAACAATTTTTTAAACTCATTTAAAAAAATGAACCTAATAGACTCAGCTCGACTCATTTATATACTCGAGTTTGAATAATTTTTTAAAATTGTTTAAAAAAAAAGAGTTCGACAAGTTTGACTTGAACTTGCAAAGTTTGACTCAATTACCAACTTTAAATTTGGATCATCCTTCTAGTGTAGTTATTATTTTTGTTAAAAATATTTATTGAGGATGGGTGATGTAAAAAGACATGGACTATCAAGTTATAAATTGAAAGTCAAGTTAAAATACATATAATATTTATATACTAGTTATTGTCTGTGCCTAAAGGCACATAGTAATAAAAAATGATAAACAATAAACATATTTGTATTTATATCCAAAATTAAATCACATACATAAATGAGAGAAAAATGAAATTAAACATCAATTGTAGTTGGGGATGAGAGGTGGGGGGCGACAGTGATGATTGTGGTGGGTGGTAATGACCGTGGTGGCTGTGGTGGTGGTGGTGGTGGCGGCGACGGAGGTGGTGGTGAGACAGTTTCAAACACTATTTTTTTAAAGTATTTATGAAAAATAATTCGTAGAAATACTTTTAAAAAGTCACTCCAAACACACCCTTAGGACCCCTATTTTTCCTATTAAATTTAGAGTGTTAATATTAGTCAGTAAATTAATTTTAAAATAAAATTTAAAACGATTTGAACTGCGAAAAGTAAAAGTCATTTTATTTATCTTTTGAAATTTGAATTATAAACTACTTTATTATATAGATAACTTAATTTGTGTATATATAATTTGACTTTCAAGCTATAATACACATATTATAATTCTTGACTTTAAATTAATTATAACTTGAAATCATTTCCTCTGGTGGGGCTTTAGGAAAGGCCGACGGGCCAGGTAGATGGGCCAGCAAGTGGACAACTAAAAGCACGATGGGCCATCTCTAACCCCTAAGGGCCTGGGGTGAGGTGGCTTTTTCAGACCGGATTGTAGGTGGGCCACCACGGGCTAGTCCGATGCCTAAACAATCATTTTTTATGAACAATCATCACATACTTATTAACAGTTGTCTACTTTATCGAAAAGCAAAATTATTTATCATATTAACGATGTACGACGTGCATTTCACGTGAACAATTTAAATAATAATTTTTTTTAAATTTATAAAAATATAAATTTTATGTGTAATTAAATTAAATGACAAATTTTGTGTCAAAGAATTAATCTATATTATATTTTTTGTTAAACTTAATTATTAAATAAATAAATAAATATATATATATCATATATTTGATCTTAGAATTCAATTTCATAACTATATGTATATAAAAATATAGTATAAATTTGTATTTACTTTTTTATATAGATATAGGAATAGATATGAAAAAATTTATGTAAATGTATTGCTTATAAATGAGTTTAAAAGAATTTAAAAGTTAAATACTACTTGTAAAAGAATTCAAAAAAACTTGAACGTTAAATTACATATAAAAGCAAAAATTATATAAAGGTATAAAGATATAATTGATTTTTATAAAAATTAGGCTAGTAATAGTATAATAAACTTATAAAAAAATAT